CTAATGTCACAGCCAACGAGCTGTGCCACCAAAACAAACAAGGACAAAGCTTACTGATGCAGAGGTTGGTGCTGAGAAGCGAAGCAACCAGAGGTGACACAGCAAGAGATGTGAAGAGATGTATTCCCTAGACTAGAAGGGGTAGTGAGGGAGGTAGGGCTGCTAGCTACCTACAGAGGAGATGGGGAATCGACGAGAAGATCAAGTCTGAGGTTCCCTGCCTCAGACTCCCTACTATATATACTAATACAATGGTGCACAGACCAGGTACCTATTGACCATTGTTTGGTCAGAGTTCTCTGCCTCATGTCCTACCCTCTGACCTGCCTCATGGTGACCTTACGACTAATACCTGAGTCGTGCCGAGTCTGGACCCCTCCCAATGAGTAAGCGCTCCTGCTGTCACATCAGTCACCTGTCTGTGAGTGAGGATGGGCGCTCCTGGCCATCACGAGGTCTGGGGTTCGATCCTGGCCCCTCCACTTTCCGATACGAGTTGTCCGCGGTCAAGGTGAGCGTCTGTCTCAGTACACATGACCCCCAGGTCACGTGGCACGAGAAAACTGTGACAAGTAGTGGCCGCCCCCCCCAGGTTTGCGACGTCCCTTCAGAGGACAGAACAGCCGACAGCCATGCGCCCCAGAGTGCCCCACAAGTCCGTTCATGTATGCCATAGCTGGTGTGTCGCCTGTAGCAAAGAGTATGATGGGGCGTGAGTGCATGAACCGTTGGCGATAGGAGTCCCAGATTTTCAGAGGGTTATTCTGAAGAGCAGCAACGTGGTATAGCCCAGGGAAGAGGAAAGAATCGATATTTTTGGGTTTCTTAGGGCCCAGAATGAACGCACCCGGAAGCACGTACCGCTTCTTGTACCGAACGTCGGGCGCCAAATCGAAGAGAACCCAGATGTATATCCAGCAGTCAGACTGTTTGGATTCATAGAGCTGCGCGCCGTCAAGAGAGAGCATCAAAACCAGGTCATCTTCCAGAAAAGTCCCAGCGTCGACCAGTCTCAGATAGTCCTCAGCAAAGAATACGTCCTCAGCGACCTCGACCATCTTCTGGGCATTGGCCATTTCCAACAGGCGCGCCATCAGTCCCTCGCGATGGTGCATACGTTTGGCACACTGACGCGACCGGTAGAGGGCCTGAAGTTGAGGGCCTAACGGATGTGTCTGGAACGTCCGTCGCGCGACGCGTTTGTTGCCGCGCGTCTCGTAGCGCATTTCGGTGCAGTCTTTG